GGCCATTTGCTTCCCTGGCTTGCTAGCACTGCAGAGTGAACATGTACCCTAGCCTCTGCATATTCAAAGTCATGCTATCCCAGCCTCCCATGCCATTGAGTATCAGGAAATTGCTGCTAGTGGGTGCCAAATGCTGCTGACTTGCCAACAGTTCTTGGGGGTCACTTGCAAAGTAGAGAGTGTCCTCTAGAAGGTGAGGCAGTGCAGGAGCTTGGCTTTCATGACTGACTCTCCAAAGAAACTTCTATTTTTCTGTGGTCCTGGAAGATCAACACTCCTAAGATAAGTGGGGGAAGACCCTGTACACTGCAGCCAACCAATGATAGCCAGACATCTTGCTGAGCTTCATTGTCTCTGAAAACCAGGTGCTTCGGATGATCCAGCAGTAGTCAAGGATGTGTCCTTAGCACAACTTCAACAGCGTGAGCACAGTGCTTCCTGAAGGCACAAGCTCTGAGGTCCCTGTGGTCTGTGACCGTCCACCATCACAGTGACAATGGGCTGGTGATTGTGCATCAGCTGTTTCATGTTATAATCTGACCTATTGATGTGAAGTGATGGTGGTGGAAGTCCTCATTTCACTCATGGGGCAGTCAGCCGAGGTGGTTTGCTGGTCATCTCTGGCAGAAAGGTGTCACATTGGGTGGGAGCTGGGAACGTTTTCAGTTAACTTACTATGAGTCACAGTGCTGAGATGTGCCCATGTCTTTCAGCTTTGCTGCATCTGAAATATTCTGAAGCCTCTCCGGCTTGCAGCCCTTGTAGGGGATGGCTAGCAAACACATGTCAGCATCTGCCTCCTCCTCATATCCAGCAGGGAGGCAAATGCTGGTTGCGGCAGTGGGCCTTACATGCTTGTGTCACGCTGTATGAACTATCTACATGGATTCCTTCATGGATGTGGGGGAGGGAGCTGAGTGTGCTACCGGGAAAAGCAGCAGGGACCCATCAAAAAATGAAATCAGAGTGATCTGTTGCCAGAATAATTGCTTGGTCCTGAAATTATGAAGAAACTCAGAAAGAGCCTCTGTAGCCAAAACGTTGTCCTGCTGGCTGGTTCCCTAATAGGGGAAAAAAAAAAAATGGAGCATCTGTTCTAATTTGTGATGGGAGCTTGCTGCATCAGGATCAAAGGAGAAAGTCTTTTGCAGAATCAAGCTAAGGTCAAAGGGAAGGGCCCATTCCTCTTTCTGCTGACAGTGGTGTGCCCTGCTCTTTCTCCAGCCATGCTGCTTACAGGGATGCCTAATTACTAAGTAAGGAGGAGATTGCATATACAAGAGAGGGTGTAATGGCGATTGTATTCCAATTCTAAGAGATGATTTGGTGGTAACTGGTGTTTTTTTTGTCTATCATACGTCATTAAACTTCTCTGAATGCGTAGGAAAGATCTGGATCGTGTACCTTTGAAAAGAAGACCCTTTACAACATCCTTTGCCTGGTTTTTCTGACCTCTTATGTGTAATTTGACTCACTAGACTGGGCTGTATGTGTGAGCATATATCTATATTTGCAATTATATCTACCCAAGGGAGTTCAAGTTCTCATTCCTTAGGCTTCATTGCAAAATCCTTATCCCAATAGATATGCTAAATCTGAAATATTTTCCTCCCTCTCTCTCCTGCCTCCCTCCTTTTGCATTATGCAAAGCCACATTTTTGCAACTCCTAATTTTGAAGTGTTTAAACATGTAGAATTTCGTTGAATTTCCCTACTAGGTATCTTCCTAGGCATCCAGGTTTGTAAGCGTGTGTGTCTCTGTGTGCATCCACCTGTGTTTTTGGCTGTGAGTATCAGTGTGGAAGGATGCAGTCACGCAGATTCTTGCGTAGCTGGACAAGGGCAAGTGTAAGTGTGTTACGTTTTCCAGTGGTCTGACATATAAAGAAAGACAATGCAGCTTCTGAAGAGGATTTGAGCTTTGCTCTTTCAGCTGCCTCCCTGGGAGAGGAGACGTGTTGTAGTAATGTCCCCCCCCAGTGCTGTGTTAACACACCAGTGCATCTCCCTCTTTATGCTGGTGGAAGAGGACTTTGCCTACATTTGGTCTCCTGATGCCCCTGTCGCCTTGTTTAAGCGTACTTGTCAGAAACAGTTGTGTGTGTTTTCCCCAGCTGTAGCCCTGCAGGTGCCACTTAGCTTAACAAAATGAGTGCTTGTCTTTAAGTGCTGCCTGCCTTGTATGCATCCTGGGCCAAAGAGCAGCTCATAGGCCTGGGGGTGCATGAAGCAAAGGCAAGACTGAGGAGCTGGTTTGCCCAGTGGCTTCACAACACAGAGACAGGACAGCATGGGGTGTGTGGGGGTGCTCATCTTGCATGCCCGGGTCCAAAGCAGCTGCCCTTGGCAAGAGAAATAGACAGGGACCTCAGCTCTTCTTTAGTGCTAACCCCCCGCCCCCCCGCCACTCCATGGCATTCAAATTAAAAGGGATGCTGTGGTGCCTTGAAAGGAGAAGGAGATTGTGGGGGCTGTGGGGTGCTGCAGGGGGAGAGTGGGGTACGGGCAGAGCAAAGGGAATATTATGTGTTTTCTTTCCTTTTTTAAATTGCTCATAAGTAGATTGGGAAATCCTCAAAGGTATTGAAAATTATTTCTACAGTGAAGAAATTATGCATGTTCTGTTTTAGTGTTTTTATTATTCTGCAGGACGTTTAAAATCAACTAATAGTAAATATTAAGAGTAGCAAGAGGGTGGTTACGCCTGAAAATCACATCATCTTGATGACTGAGTGATTGTGTAACTAACTCTGCAATGCGAACTGTAAACTCTAACTTTTCTAGTTGCTTGCTATTAATTAGTACTTCACACTTAAGTATTACTTTTCCCAAATGACAAGAGTTTGAATGTGTAGATTTTTCTTGGATGGCTAAATGAAGGGGATAAAGGATGGGGTGAAAACCATGTGTTGCTATTCCAAATCAGATGAGTAGATGGTTTTCCTCTTATGGGGAGCATCTCATTAGATCTATGCTGAATATGGCAGAAGAGCTTTCATGCACCATGTTGGAGAGAGAGGTTAATCCTATAAATGTCCAAATTATTGTGGCTCCCTGCACACTGTTTGGCACATGGATGATGCTATATTGGATGTCATGGCAAGGTAGTCTTCAAATTTAGACCTGCAGAAAAGACGATCCCTTGTCAGGATCATATTCAGTAAGAGACATCTGCGAAGCTGACATGGGTCACTTCTGGTTTTGGGGCTACTGTCACTGCCTGGCCAGCCAGAAGCAAATGAGGAGTCCAAAACCATTCCCAGTCTAGCATCCACAGATGCAACTGGAAGGCAGATGCCTTGTAATAAAGGTGATGCCTATTACTGGCTCTTCAAATCATTTATTTCTGCTTGCTGCTGACAGCCCCGCATAGGAGATTGATGGTTAAGCTTTCACCAGATGTGGTGAAAGCCTCATCCAGGCACCTAATTCTCTGAGATGTTAGCACCAGAGATGAACTGTTTCCCTAGGAATTTCCAAGATGTTTCGTATTTTTAAATGTGTTCCAAGCCTGTGAGAAAAGTCAGACTTGTTATTTTTTTTTTTTTCTGCAAAGTAAGAAACCAATTAATTTCACTTGGAAAGATTAAAATGGCATTTTGTCTGGCTCTGTTCTGAAGCATTTCTGAGCCTCTCAAACTACCTGGGGCTTTGGAGGTGGGAGATATGGAGGAGGGTGCTGAGGATTTGCAAGGTCCAAACCCAGGAACTCATCATAGGCTGTTCAGGTGCTAGAAACTTTGGATCTCTAGCAACTGAAGGTCAGTGCTTCCAGGCTCAGAGCACACCATCTCTCCATTAGGTAGGCTAGGAAGGATCCCAGCAGACAAGCACATGGGAAACTACTCACCTTTTCCTCAGAAGTTAGCCTGTTTGATTTCTTCATAGTTCAGATAGAAAACTGTTCTCATGAAGCATTTCACCTTCAGCAAACCAGTGTCTCTTGGCAAAAACAGAAACTTCGCTGACAGCACTTTCTGGAGTCAGCAAGAGAGTAGGGTGGTGCACAGACTACACCTGGGTGCTAGTAGTATTGCCTTGGATATTGCCTTGGATCTTGAAAACTCCTTGTCTTCTCCTCCAGCAGCCTCCCACATACTGTGAACAAGATAGTGAGCTGTCATATAGAGAGATGTTTTTTGTAGTCAATATTTTGATCTCGTGGGGGAACGTGTTTTAAAGAATTTTAGTGCTACACAAAATGGTGGTGGTGACTCCTTGGTTAGTTTCATTTGACAAGATTTTGGCAGTAGGAATGGAGATATTTCCTTGTGTGACTTGCAGTCTAAAAACTGCAGCCTTGAGCTGCTGCGCTGGGAAGCTGGGGCTTATCAGGCTTTGAGCCCTGTCCAGCCTGTGTGGAATGCAAAGAAGTAAATGGTGGAAATCCTGGAAAATAAATGAGATTTGATGAAATCCTCCATTATCAGTAGTAATTTTTCACCTGCTAGATAGAAATACCTGGAATAGAAAAGATTTAGGTTTTTAACCCTTTGAATTAAAAATAGCACTAAAATGTCTCTGCTTATGCTGCACTTTTATGAGACGTAGAAGTGGGGGGAGAACTGTGTTTCTCTCTTCCTACCCCTTGCTGGAGACTTTTAGAATGCAGTTTACTTTTTTTTTGTTTCAGTGATATTGGGTATCATTAGGACTGATGGGTTTGAAAACATATTTCTTTACCTCTTAGACACAGCTTGGCTGCTCTTTCCCTGACACCAGAACAAAACCTGTTGTTTTCAGAGGCTCTGAAACTAGAGTGCTCTCACTTAAAAGGGCCACCTATCTGCATTTGCCTGTGAAAAAGGTCTGCATGAGAGCAGTCTGATCTATTGAGGGAGAAATCTAATTCTTTTTACCCTGAAGTAATTGGTAAGGGACAGTTGTGGAACAACAGGATGCTGCTGTCATGGCCTGCCGTGTGTATGGGGCCACCTGCAGTGCTTGAACTGGATGTCCTTCTACTGAAATGCTTGAACTTGATGTCCTTCTCTTTCCAGGTCTAGTGTGTCCTCTGGAAGTGTCAGTCAGTTCAGGGAGTATCCAGGTTGCCCGAGGACAGACAGCGGTATTGCCCTGCACCTTCACCACTAACGCTGCTCTCACTAACCTTAATGTCATCTGGATGGTAATTCCTCTTTCTAACGCCAACCAGCCTCAACAGGTAGGTCCTTTCTTACTGGATCATGTATTTCTTTGAGGCCTTCCTTTTCCTCATCCCTTTCACACTGATCTGGATGTAGTCCCTTTACAATGCTGAGTCTCTGATTGTCCCACAATGTTCCCTTCATTGCTGAATGTGCCCTCTGGATATTATATGAATCTTATTTCTTCAGTGCTTTGTTAACTGATGCCCATTCTGTCCTTGGCTGGATGTGCAATTGGGGCAGGTGTATGTGATACTGTATGGCTGCCCTGGATCTCTCGTGTGTTCAAAACACAACAGGAGATGTAATCCAGGTGCACCAGATACGGGATTTGGAGCATCTGGGAGTAACTGCAGGCTTAAACCTGTGAAATCTATGTAGAATGTGCCGGAATGCATGGCCTCTCATAGACTCGTTTTCCCTTTTACTTCCCCTCTTACTTTTTCACTGTCTGTTGCTTATGCAAGTCCCTTCTTATGAACATTAGCAAATGAGAGTCTATTGTGGTGGGCACAAGAAGCATAACCTGAGATCTGCTGGACTGGCTTTTGTCTGCATACTCTGAAAGCAGAAGAATGCCATTGCTCTGAAATGCATCCATCTCCGGTTGCATTGCCCCCATCACATCTGGTATTCAGTTGTGAGAACCTGCACTGAAGAGTACTTGCTGCTCAGGGATTTGGTCTGAGTACGGACTGCTCTATAAGCCATCTGACTGGTAGAGGCTGTGCAGGTTCAAGGGTTGCATTGCCTGTCATTCAGTTCATCTCAATGATCTTCAGTAAGCCGTGTCAAATCATTGTAGGATCTTACCGGCTAAGACTCAAAATGATACTGTCCGCTGGGCGGATGCTTTCCAGCAGAGTATGCAGTGACCTGCAGAGAGTCTCTGCCTCTCTACATCAGTCCTGTCCAGATGGGTAATGACCATCATATGAAGCAGGCTGGTATTGCCAATCCAGCTATGCCAGAAGACTTGGGTGTCTATCATCTGCCTGTTACCTCTGTGAACATTTTTATTGACATAAAACAAGCTACAGAGTGTGTTCCTCTTTTAGAGAAAACACCTCTGCTCAGATGGGTCTGCCTGGGACAACTGTATTTTGGGGTCTGGTTATTTAGAGATCCTTTAGGAACTGGTTGTTTTGTCTGTGGAAGCCCATGTTTTCCTTGCTGTTCTTCCTGCTTGCTCAGCTCCTGCACAGTGTTGTTTGAGCCTTCCTTTCTTTTCCAGGTTATTCTCTACCAAGGGGGTCAGATCTTTGGTGGTGCACCCCAGTTCTATGGGCGAGTGGGGTTTGCTGTGACAATGCCAACCACCAGTGCCTCCATCTTCATCAACAACACTCAGCTATCGGATACTGGCACATACCAGTGTTTGGTCAACAATCTTCCTGACCGAGGCATCAAGAATATTGGAGTCATTGGACTTACTGTCTTGGGTGTGTTTATTGGGATTAATGGGGAGAGGGGAGGGACAAGGGTATCCTCTGTTCATTATAGTGCATCGTAGCAGAGAAATATGTTAGCATATCCATTGAAGGCCACGGACATCCCATAGTGAAGGATGGGCTGCCTTGTCAGTATTATAAGAGTTTGTAGGGCACATAGCCTTCATATGCAGGGAGCACATAATGGAGTTTTAAAATACCACAGAGAGAAAGCTTTTGTGGCAGCATTGTGAAGTAGAGTTGCAAAGAAGCATGAATAAAGTACCAGGGCATCCTGGAGAGCTAAAGGGACTGTAAGAGTTTTGTGCATAGAAAGAGGAGAAGAGAATGACTTTAGATCTTTGCTTCCTTTTTTTTGAAAGCAATTAGTACTGTGTGCTCCCTAGGATGTTAAATACTCCAGAGTGTGTGCCATTATAGGGATATGAAAGCAAACCCCAACTACAGCAAATTCTGTCTGCAGCTCTGTTAGCTCTCAGCACCCTTGCTGCCTCAAATACAGAAACATTCACCTCCTTTTTCTCTGGGGAGGCATCTAGGAGAACTGGGTCCTATGAAAGTCAGCAGTAGTCTGCAACCTTGATGGTCTGGCGGGTCAGGAATCTTTGGGAATTGTTACCCTCCAAACCTTAATGGGTTTTTGTCTGCTGCATCCCTCTTGTCCCCTTGGCAGGTCATGCCAGTGTCCTTGCTTTCCCCAGCAGCACGTGTCCAGAAAGAGCCTGTACTCCACTGTTTGGTCATATTTCCTGATCTGCTATCACTGTCCCCTTTTCTCTCGCAGTTCCTCCTTCTGCCCCGCTTTGCAGAATCCAGGGGTCCCTGGACGTGGGTAGCGATATCACACTGACCTGCAGCTCAGAAGAAGGCATCCCTCGGCCAACATACCTCTGGGAGAAACTGGACAATATTCCCAAGTTGCCCCCAACTGCCACACAAGGTGCTCATTCTGTTGATTATCCTCCTGTTTCCCAGGTGACAGCCTGGATCTTCCTTTGTCTGAGCTGCCAGAGGTGGCATGGCTCATTGAGTGGTTGCCATCACTTGCATGGTCACTTTATTGGAACGAAGATTCCTAGAGCCCATGGTGGACTAGGTACCCTCCAGCGGCCACTTAAATTTTATTGGTTTTTTTGTTACATAAACATGTTCCCCATTGTGGAACAACGATCTGGTCAAATGAGAGAGAGAGAACATGGTTGCCATATGTTGACATGTGGCTGGAGATTTCAGATGCTGACTCACCTGCATTTTAAACTAAATGAAAGGCTCATAGATTGGAAACTGGAAGAAGGGAGGCAGAATCATCCCAGGAAAATACTACCAGCTTCTCATGCTGAGGTCACTGTTCTCCAATAAGTTACTGCCAGAGCTGCCTTTCAGATGTGTGTAAAGGCAAGGCTCTGATCAGACTGGGTATTGCGCAGCCTCCATAAGATTTCTTAGCCTAGGTGTCCTGACCAAATGGTAATAGAAATACTTTTGCCCTTTATCTTGCTGTATTTTAAGAATACACAAGTATTTAAGTTTTACATAATTCAGAAATGAGGAAAAATGTCAGAGCATTCTTTTCTCATACAATGCTGAGAGTCCCAAGCTTTCATTTGCAGAAATTCATCTATAAGAAGAAAAAGAAACATCTAGTGTAAGCTTCTTAAGACCTAATCTTGTGTGTGTGTGTGAGTGTGTGCACAATGCTTCCATCCCAAGGTTATTTCTGAATTTATTTCTCTTAAGAGTCTCACACCAAAACTCTCTATTTGCTGGCTTTGCCTTTTGATGGTTTTCCTCAAGGGGGGGAGGGTTTTAAATCCTTCTTTTCTCTCTGACTAGACCAAGTCCAGGGCACTGTCACTCTCCGAAATATCAGCACTGTGTCCTCAGGTCTTTACCAATGTGTTGCTTCAAATGCCATTGGAACCAGCACTTGCCTTCTGGACCTGCAAGTCATTGCACGTAAGTATTTTGCAAAGGGAGGCTTGGTCACCTGCTTCTGTCTTGTGACAGCAAAGTGTGCAACCATGTTTGCTGTGAGCCACCATGTGCCTCTCTATCAGAAGATCATTGTGCCCTGGAATGGGGATGTTGTCTTTCCCCTCTCCCAAGCCACGGTAGCTTCAAATGCTCATGGATGGCCACAGCCCAGCCCTGATTTCTTCTCCATTTTCTGTTCAATTGTCCCCACAGCCCACCCCCGAAGCATCGGCCTGATTGCAGGAGCGGTGGCCACAGGCACTGTTGTGCTCGTTGTTTGCATTGTGTTGGTGGCCGTGGCACTGTTTTACTGGAAAAATAAACACAAAGAAGAAGAAGAAGAGGAGATTCCCAATGAGATAAGGTAAGGGTCAGGGAAAGCTGGTGGCAGGGGACCTCTGATTGCCCAGCAAAAGCAGTGACTGTCAGGAAGGCAATCAGAAATCTCACTTTTGCTAATTCCAGGTGTGTTCCCCTGGGTCAGGGGAAGATGTCCGTATGTGCCCAGAAAATAGAGGCAGCAAATGAAGAATGGTAATGACAGGTTTTGTTTTCAGGCTTGCCTTTATTGAGAGCCTTAGCTTCATGCTGTTAGCTCCATAGGAGAGTGACATGGTGGGGATCCTGACCCACAGTACCAGACAGTGATAACTGAAAAGCTCTGGAGACAGAACTGTGATTTTCTCTGGTGTTACAGCCACAGTGTTTCCCTCTGGTAGCTTCCTGCAGTTCCCCTGAGGATCAGCTTCATTGGTTGTACGGTCATACTGACTGGCTGTGAAGTGGCAGTGGCTGTGAACACTGGTTTTGCCACCCTAGACACAAGTGTGGGTCATTTGCCTCAGCAGTAGGCACATGGAGCAATTAATGTACATCCCCTACAAAAAGGGATGAGCAAACAGGCCAAGGAGCAATGCTGGTTCACATTGGTGCTGGCGTTTACCTTGAAATGATGGTGGTGTCCCCAGCAGGGTGTGGTGGGAGGTAGTGTTGGACAAGAGGGACGACATTCTCCATGTGCCCTCATACCCTCTCCTTCCCAGGGAGGATGACCTGCCACCCAAATGCTCCTCTGCCGTGAAGACATTCCACGCCGACGCATCCTCGTCAGAGAATGACACCCTCACCTCCTCCAACACCTACAACAGCCGCTACTGGAACGACCCCAAAGCCAACCATGCCACAGACTCCTTCACCCGCTTCAGCAACAGCAATGACGCCCACCAGCCCCCCTTCTCCCGCTCGGGGAGCACGAGCACCCGCCCCATTTATGCCAATGGTGGCCACCCGTCCCCAGCTCCGCCTAAGACGCTGGTGGTGACGGCCAGCACGGCGCCGTCCCCTCAGGAGGTGATTCGGAGCAACGGC